GGGAGTGGAGCGAGAGTGTGAGTTAGATGCACACAAGTCTACTTTCACTATAGTCACAGGTGAACGGGGTTGCTAAATCGGTCAGTTTGCCTATAAAGTCAGGGAAGACCAAAGTGTTTTCATGCTGCATCCATGCCCAAGTGAAGGCACCTCTCGAGATTAGTGGCTGTCCACTTGACGAAGTGGACCGTTTCGAATACCTCAGAGCGAGGTTGCTGTCGAATGGATAGAGCAAGGATGATATTGTCTCCCGAATTTACACAGCCTTCGAAAGTGCCTAGGGATCCGACGCAATATTTATATTTTCACAAAGGTCCGCATGTACCGTGTATCTGTACGGTCTGTTCTTCTATGCGGATGCGAATGCTGGTCTATGCGCGTGGAAGATGAACAAAAACTAGAAGTCTTTGACCACTACTGCTTGAGAACTATATTTCAAGTAAAGTACACCGACTACGTCTCAAATGAGACAGTCCGCACTCGCTGCGACAACATCGCAGGGTTATCCCAGGTAATCCAAGAAACACGACTGAGGTGGTTTGAACACGTTGATCGCCGTCAACCTCACGAGCTCAGTGATACTGCCCTCGACTCGAAACCGTTAACTACTTGGAAACGTCGAGGTGAACATTAGCTCAAAACCTGGCTCGACTCAGTCCGTCAAAACATAGAAGAGTTTTTTGGACTTTCTCTATTCGGCCTCCAGCGCTAGCGAAGAGGATGGCTCGAAATGTCCAGGTCTGCTGCCAAGGATCGTTGCGCGTGGGGAAGCACCGTACGGGACATCATCGAGGCTGGCTAGATCAGGCATGATCGCAGCCGTAACAAGTACACGTCACCATTCCTGCACCACTCCGCTGTGGAGCACACGGTTGACATTTAAACGAAACCGACGAACTTGCGTGTACTGGTTTGCTAAATCTTCATGATTTAACAGTCTAACTGATGTTTGTCTCCTTAAACTTAACCCTCTTGCATTGTAGGAAGTGAACCGGCTATCTGGCTTCTCAATCTCAAGTCACCGAATGGCGAAATAAAGAAACTAGAATCACCAGTGGACGAGTCCGCGTTCGATTGCTGTTTCGAATTGTCTGACGAGGACTTTGTTGCCCTCTTTGACGGTACTGCTTACACGTCAAACCTCTTTGCCGCAGGAAAGTTAGTCATTGAGGGAGATCTGACTGCCGCGCTCAGACTTGACAAAGAGCTCACGCAGCTACGAAAGGCCTAGACGATTCCTTACTTGACGTCTTTCTCTTCTTCTTCTCAGGGACAGAGAAATCCTCAGTGACATTGTTTTTTCACGTTTTGCCTTTTGCTACTTTTTGAGTGCCAATTTGTGAAACGATTTCTAAAAAACATACACATTTGCGTTTCTACTCACATTGTTTTAGTAGTTTGTGTAAATAACTTTCGTGGACTGTCAGATTTGTGAGATATGGCTATGGTCACTAAGCTCTGCTGTTTTCGTCATTTAAAGACTTTTAAAGCATATTTACAAGCAGAGACTGCCACTGTGCTGAGTCCATCTAGTATCTGGTGAAGGACAGACAGAAGGGTCTTCCGGGAGTTTGAATATTTTAATAAAGGGCGTTAATATGCTATCTCTTAGCCCAAGAAAACCTTCGGTAAAATATCATCGACAAAACCCTCCTATCACATATTTTCTCAACTAGCTCGCTTTTAAGTTCCAGTTTAGGCTTTTAACTGACTGTCCAGTTCAGTTTCTTTCCAGTTGTTCTCGTAGAAGCGTTTGAGCAACTCACTAAGCGGACTGCAGACGTTTATAGGTATCTTCTTTGGCCTGCAACAAGAAACAGATAGGGCAGCCTGCTTTAGTGGAAGTTATTCCACACCAGCTTGAGTTCAGTAGTTGGCAGCTGACTTATTTTTGCCATATTCCCGAAATTCCTTTTGACCGGCGCTACCAGGGTGAGCCTGAGTTACGTCTTAAAATCTCTGCTGGAAAAGGCTTCATCCCATTCTGTAAATAATGGTGCTGCTGCCTACCGTTTACTTCGTACATGCTGGCCGGCCTTGAAACCATTACTGATGTAGTACGCGTGTTCTGCTTATTAACTTTAGCAGTTTATTCGTCAGTTTCTTCAGGCGTTTGCACTAGATGACCTACTACGAACGGTTCTCCGATTGGTTGGTGATGATGTTTGTAAACAAAATTGCAAAATAGTCCAAACAGTCACCCGTCAGATAGCGAGTGAAATGAGAACATTTTTTTCAAATGATTTAGACGCAAATACAAACAGGAACATCAAAGGCGTACCAAATCCTCAATTGCAGTTAGTCATGGTAAGGTGTTTCGAGAATGCCAAATCCGGGTCGATAAATGGATTAACCACGGTAGCTTTGCCTTCCAGACCGGAGACGCACTGTAGAGAACTGGAAGATAAAGTTACCCAAAATACGGCATCTTCGACGGTTATGCAGAGAAAATGCCTACCCGCGCAACTTCGTCGACTGCTGAATGCGCAAAACAGACGGAGACCAAAATCGCGTTAACCCAAATCTTGGCGAGCGATTCTGTGCGTCAAAAACGTCCCGTAGACTGTCGGCCGCCTTCGTGCACTAATTGTGGTTGGAAGGAACCATGAGACGTCAGTTGATGAATAAAAAAGACCCACTGCCACGACAAT